TAAATGTCAATGCCATTTTCGTATTTTGAAATTTTAAACAAATGTACGACTCTCTTGTTCTATTTTTAAAACGTATGTCACATCAAATCAATTGTCCAATACAAAATGCAAATCAGTATAATATTGCGGAGCGTTTAGATACATGTGTTTCGACAATACTAGTTTATATTTTATTTTAAATCTTTGTGCTCGACTTATTCAATATTACTTAGTCCTATTCCTTAGTGTTCCATCTCTTGGTATTCCGAAATTTAATTAAAATCTGTGCTATGTTGTAGCACTATTAATTTCTTACGTATGAATTAATTCTGTCTGCATCGTTTTGTCAGATGATTACATTTCCGGACATAAGATAAATTATTTTGTTAAAAAAATAATAAAAGGAATAAAAATTTTAGTCGCGAAGATAATTTTCCATTCAAATAGAATTATTGTGTTGACACCAAGTTTCACAAATGTCTATTGTTGTCTCTAGTATAATCTATTTGTAGTGATTTTCAGAGTTAGGTCAGTCACGTCACGTCGTCAGACTGACAAAGATAGTTTAGTTATGTTCTCGGATGTTCATAATAAACAATTGCGAGAATAACTTTTTTTCTGAATGTGAGTGTAGTAGTGTAGAAAAGTGAAGAGAGTGAATGTAGAAAAGTGAGTTATGAATCAGTGCTGCAAATTGAGTTACGGAGCTACTTTATACCATCAGTCTCAATTTATGATGTTAAATAGTTACCTTTTATAACAAATTGCAAAGAAGACGCATATAGAGATAATTTGGTCAGCTTGGAGTTACTAAGTATGTACAATTTGGTGAACGATATAATAGAATGTTGATAGCGATTTTCTTGTGTTATTCTTCTACCTTAAAAGTAAGAACAATAAAAAAAGAAACTGTAATGTGTGAACATTTTAAACTAAGGTATGTTGAACATAGTTACATGAAATCAAACTTCCGTCTAATAACGCGATCACACTTCGTTCACTCCTTTCCATGTACTTCCATATACTTTATGCATGATGCACACATTGAATTGTATGTTTTCAATCGTTTTCCATTCCATTGATTTGTTTATAACATATTTAAACTTGAAAATTATTTAATTATACAACTATATAATGTGAATTGCTCTGTTGAGATAATTTTCTCATGTAGCTATTACTTGTACTCTCCTCACATTGCAGAAAAGCTTCTAGTATAACCACTTCCTGACATATAATAACAAACTTCCTATTTCTAACAACTTCCTGAAATATTGACTCTGCCATTTTTCAGAAACTAATTTTACAAGGGCGAATGTGTATGTGTACTAATGACAAAGCAAGTCACGGTCTTGAACTAGTTTCAGGTTTTGTCAACGAGCTAGAATATACTTCATAGTGGCTGTCCCTATAATTCCAGCGCTCATGGTGGTGGTTCGCCGAACTAGTGGCCGCCGTGTTTTTTTGAAATCATACGAGGGGCGGTGTGACCAGGCTGTAACCATCCGTAACCAGCTCCAAACGTAATGTTACAATACTTTGTTTCCCAGAGGACGCTTCTTTGACGGCAAAAATTATAGCTTCAATTTGCATCAAAGATAGAGGCTGCCACTCTATGTAGTATATTCTAGCTCGCTGGATTTTGTAAATTTGAAACCAGCGGTGATCTCGGAGGCAGCTGTTAAAACACGGTTTTACGTGCGTCTAGAACAGAGTTCTTAATAGGGTTGTTGGCGTGGAACTTGTGTTATTGGAAATGGATAACCAGCAGGCGCTGGTACTTGTAATTGCGTAGAAGGTTCTGCAAAACGTTTAGTGAATTAGATATATGGCCATGCAATGGATGAAACGTCCAAGCAATGTGGGATCTGGCTTAATTATTATATTAACAACGGTCGGGGAATGTCTCTAATGCAATTTTAAATGGGTATTAAATTATACACTAAAATGCCAAAACGAATACAAGAGGTTTGCTGTTTATGACAGTGGTCAATTTCGTCATTTGACATTGTTTAACTACTCTCAAGGATTGTTTCTCTCCGTGTCATTCCACTGCCCCCTGCCCCCTTCCATTGCCTCTTCCCAAAGTTAGAGATCTGTGGAAAATCGTGTCTCCGCAAGAAGTATTGAACTTAAAAAAGAAAGACCCTTATACAACAACGAAACGGGTATTTTAAATAGGTATTAAACTATACACTACAGGTTACTACAACCTTACAGGTTTCGTTTTGTAGTGTGCCGAGGGATGAGGGTATTTAAGAGTTAGGCCTGTCCTATTAGCACGAACGGATGAGGAATCGCTGGGAGGCTTCAACGGGTGGGTCGTGAGAAGAACCGTTCCATCGTCTTCGAAGATTGCACTGACAAGCAGAATCATTTTTCCTACCTCCAGTTTAAAGTAACTACACATTACAGCGAGATTGTTTGTAAGTGTGGCATTAATGACGATCTCAGTAGTCGATCAGGACATCGCGGCATGGACCTGAAACAATTTCGGACTTTCATGGAATCCCAAGGCTTGGTTAGTACGTTCGTGATGAAGTCAAAGCTGAATAGGAAGGAAATTCTCAATACTTTTCAGATTCTTAAATTGGATCGCACATCCCCCTGAATATATCACATCTGAATTTTATAATCCCCGGGTTCGTCTGTATGTGCCTAATAATGTGCGCTGTTGTTCTTCTCTGCTTGTGACATCCGTTATTACAGACTTGTGTATCATCATGAATTTGTATTTTATGTTTGGGTCATTCCAAATAAAGTCGTCCGAAATTTTATCGAGCCCCCTCCAAATTACCTGAAAACGCTTGTATTTTTCATTTTCATCTACAAATAGGTAGAAATATGCTCATGTGTTTTAGTGCATGGTATTTTCCTTTATGTCGCATAACTGCGTTTAGCTGTTTTTGCCCTCTTTCACAGAGAACTAAGAAAAACAATTGTATAAACTTGTAAAATTAATACGAATAATATATATTTTGATAATGTCTCACGTATTTGCGCATAAACGTTTGATATAAATCATTCCTAGTGATTGTGGGCATGGCCATGCTAAAATACGTGGTAAAAAATACAGTTTTTTCTTCAAAAATTCATTTCCAAAATGTGCCATCTTCGATTTTGCTGAAATTTGGGGAAATTAAATGTAAAGGATCAAACTTTAACCTATAAAAATCACATATGTTTTTTCTGATATTCTGTAATTATCCTGATTTGAAGTTGATATTCCATATTTTCATATCTATTATTTGTCTTAATTTTACAAGTTTACACAATTTTGTTCCTTAGTGCTCTGTGAAATGTTAAATAACATTTCAGAAAAACAGTTAAATACTGTTATGCGACATAAATGAAAATTCAATGAACTAATTCAAATGAGTATAGTTCTACCTATTTTTAAATGAAAATGAAAAAAATTATAAGCGTTTTCAGGTAATGTGGAGAGGGTCTATAAAATTTCGGCAGTTTTTACTTGGAATGACCCTTTTCCAATTTGTAGATTTTCGTGTTATTCTTAGGGTTGAAATTATTATAGACCTGCATTCCAGATTGTTCGATTTTGTATATAGTAGCTCTATTATGAGTGGAATCGTGAGATCTGTGTTCACTTCTTTTTGCCCAGTAGGATGCAAGGGCAAATTGACTGGTATTGAGCAACAGTGCAATTTGAGCGTTTCGCTGAAGTTTAATTTTATTGTTTTTAATGTCAGGTGGAGGTCATACTTTCTTCGTATAGTATGGGAGGATTATGCCAATTAGACAGAAATTTTGCAACTATTGCGTCTGTGCGAATTGTGTATTTTAATGTTACTAGTGGAATCTATAATGTGTTCAGTAGTGTTTATGGTATCTTGGCATTGGTTATCTGGAATTGTTTGTATATATTTCTTTAGCATATGGTATTATTTGCTGCAATTTCGGCTCAGGCTTCTTTTGAAGTCTACCCCCGGCGCTGGACTAGGGACTCGTTCGACTCGTGAGGCGTGCACTATGGGCGCCCCCTGATACACCCGGGTGTGATTCACTTCCTCCGGCAGGTGTGGGACTCATGTCGGTTCCCTTCCCCGAACTCTGTTGTTGGAGATCTCGTTAGGACGGGTAGTTGCCTGTGGGGTTTAAATTTGCTGGACTCTGCGTGGTTTCCTTGCGACAAGCGTGGCATGGCGACTAGGCCTTTCCGCCCTTCGGAAAGGATGCAAGCGGGATCGAGCCCGCGCACGGGGGCTTCTCTCACTCTCTGAAGTGGATGAAGTGCGTTGTTAAAAAGGAGTTATGTCTGTGCCAGTTGCTACTCAATCAAGCATCATTACATCGATAGATTAACAATCGCATCTTGTAAACGGGAACGGAGCATTTAAATAATTATTTGTAAATAGTTAAAAGAGAAATATTGAATACGTCTCACACGGTTTTTCATTTTCGTAAGTTGGCAATTCGTAATATACGTTAGGTTGACAGCGGCGCCCTATTTTTCTTTCTGTTTCGAATATTAGTCCACGTTATTTACATGAAAGAGAATTAGCGGCGAATAGTTTGAGGGTGTGTATGTTACAGAATTTTAAGTTAGATCGGTTTCCTCTCGTACTCCAAGACAAACGGTGCTGACAATGCATGATTTGTATAGCATTACCGAGACCGATTCTTTCGGTTGCGATGAATTTCCTTCAGTTTATGAATTACTCCTCAACCTCTGGCGAGGTATGTTAGATTTAATATCATATGATTTCTCAAAAAATTATTACGTACAATTTAATAAAATAAAAAGGCTTTTTCACCGTATAAATTCTTCAATAACTTTAAAAAATTGTATGCCCGCGAAAGTTTTTCTATAAGAGTCTTCACTAATTTAAACTGTTTTTATTAACATTTTGACGGTAAGGACCATTTTTTTTGCCGTCTTGAAGAGCAGAGATTTTGCTTTGATTTAAAGTACCTTTGACTGTGGTCGATCATTCTACCTTATTGTTCCGAATTGCGCGCCCGCAGTGCCGAGTGTGAGTGAGGGTGTGGTTGGTGTGGCGCAGGTGTACCGTCCGCACGCGCAGGCGGCGGCGCAGCAGCTGGTGGTGGAGCCAGACATCATCAACATCGAGCCGGTCATCACCCTGGACACGGGCGAGGGCTCGGGGGCGTCCGCGGCGGCGTCGCCGGCGGCGGCGGGCGCGGGGTCAGCAGCCCCGGCGGGGGCGCGGGGGGGGGGGGGGGGAGCGGGCGGCGGGCGAGGGGGCGCGCGCCGGGACGCGGGCGGCGTTGGGCGCCGGGCGGCCGGACAATCGGCGGACGCCCGCAAGACGACGGGGCGGGGCGCGAGGCGCCGGCCCGCCCGGCCGCAGCGCCGCCCTCCGCCGCTTCCTCGCCCTCCCCCGCGGCCTCCGCCGCTGCCGCTGCCCACGCCGCCGCGCACGCCGCCGCCCTCACCTCGCAGCTCGAGGTCAAGGTCAGTGCCTTCCCGCAGACACGCACGTCTGTGCTATGGCGGCTCCGCACATGCTGCATTCGGCGAATCCCCAGTATGTGTGGACGGGTTGCTTGCGATGCGCCCGGCATTCGCCCTACCCATCACATGTTTACGACACATCGTTTTTACGGCACATCGAAGGGAGCGAACACTCGCCGAACACAGAAGCTGTTCGGGATTAGGCGAGCAACAGCTCGCTGCTCGGCGAATGCCGAATGTATGGAGCCGCCTTCAGACTAGTCAAATTTCATATTCAGTTCATACTCCAGTTTCTGTTATTCTTAACCTTTCTTAAATACTGACTTACGCTAGCGAAAGCATTAAACGTTCCTAAATACAGACCAAGTTCATCATCAAATAGGTTTAAAACTGGTTTCTCTTTCCACATACATATATACGTAAAAAAATCAAGTATCACTGCAATACAATACGCAATACAATAGTTGGTAAAGATTCCAGTAAAGTCAAAAATTATGTTTGAACGTTTCGGTCTCGTTTGCGAGATTCAGATACTGAAGAGAACCTTGTAAAGGAGATCGAAACGTCTGTCGTAATAAGATTTTTGACTTGATTGGGGTCATTGTTTACTTTTTGTTTTCTTTTAATATAAATAGTTATAATAAATATATAACTCGGTTTGAAACTTACTAGTGAACTACAGCTGCAAAAGCTGCGCAAGTGTTGTTGAGTTTTGCTCACGTCGAATCTCACCACCATTAGCAGCTAATTCGATAATCACAACTCATCACAGTTCCGTTAACTATCACGAGACACTCGTCGACCCACATTGTACTAGAATAGCTCACCAGCTCTTCTCCATTACTCTTCTGCCACTCTCCTTTCTTCCTTTTCCCTCGCCCTGGCGATGCTCACACGCTCTGCCCAGGCCTCGCTTTTTCTCCAATAAAATAAATTCTAGCACACCTATCCACCCACACAATTGAATTCTTTGTGGTTAATGTTATTTTCTGAAGGGGCGCAATGACAACTGCATGAAATTTGGTCTTGACAAATGGGCAGAAGTCAACTTAAAGAGAGGCAATGTGACAAGAACAGGGAGCATTGATGTTGATATGCACACTGTAATTCAAGTTCTTGAATGAGGTAAAACTTACAGATATCTATGCATTGAAGATTGTGAGACGACCTAGAACTATTCAATGAAAGAGAGAATACGCATGAAGTATAACAGAAGAGTGAGACTTGTCCTGCTGTTCGCTCCAGGAATAAAATATCTGAAATTGGTTGTTAGGCGGTACCTGTATCAAAGTTTCGTACTAGCAAGGGACTGAGCAAGAAATTCGAATCATAAATCGATAAACCATAAACTTGCTTACAATGCATTATGCCACCAATATCGAACTGATGTAAATAGACTTTGGCCATGGAAGGTAGGAGGAAGCCTCCTGACACAATGCAATAGTTGAGGTGAGATAATAAGTAGTCAGCCATCAAGATGACCCGCTAATGAGGCTGGTCAAGAAATATGGCCGATGAATGGGAAACAAAGGAATTGTAAGCGTAGCAAGAAGCATTGTAAAGAAGACTATGTAGGACATGGAGAATAACACAGACACTGAACTTCTGATGCTACTTATCATGAAATGTGAAACTCAAAAAATGTCAAAGAAATCGTGGAGAGACAAACCACTCCATGGACAATATCCTATAAGAATGGACACTGTGAAGATCTTTAAAGATCTATTATTTGTGACTTAAATGGGGAAGCATGAAGCCAGAATCAGAGGAAGTTTTAATAGGAGACCAGATGTTGAGATCACGACATTCTGATGAAATTGATCTCAAAATTTCCCAAGATGATAAATGCTGCATCTGCCAGGAACAAGTGGAAACCATTGATCATATCGTCTCATTATGTAGCAAAGGCCGAATACTTGAAAAGACACGAAAGGATGCGTAGTTACCCCCATTAACAGATCTGTACTGCAGGCACAGGACTTCGCTCCTTAGTAAGCTGGTTTGCGCACCCGGAGTAGATTCCAGATTTCAACTCGACTATCGACATCTTTCAAAGTTGTGAATTAGAGAGGAATAATAACATGACAAGAACGCGATGTCTTGTGCCTTCCAGTCTTTCGAAAGATGTTTAGATCGCGGGGATTATACAACTTACTTTATATAAGATTTGCGAAACAACCGATAGCATTCTTGTTAGTATTACTATACCATACTGTCTCTATTTCATATACGAGAAAATTAAAATTGTTAATTTATACGTAGGTCTGCTTGCTCTTTAAATATGTGGATCTGACACTCTTTGATAACGGAGAATTCAAGGTCATCTATTAACTGTAACTTTTAAGGAACTTGGAGTTGTCCGTTAACCTGTTTATTTATCGGGTCCTTAATTAAGATCTTTGGAACACAACACCGATAAGTAATAGAGAGATTTTCTTATCCATTTACGCCAATGAATGCCCGTAGTGGGGTACTCAATTTCTTTAATGGAGTCAACTTGCTTATTTAATTGTACATATTTCAGTTTCCTACTGATCATTAGAATACGATTGAAAGAGCTCGCTCCATTCGCTATTAGTAAGAGGTGTGAGTGCGTGCACACGATGTGCTGTGGTGTGCGAAATTCAAAAACCCGACTGAAGATTCGGGTGAGATTGTTAAAAACGCGACCTCGTGGGCAAGCTAGATGCATTGGGGTGCCAGTGGCCTGCTGTGGGGAAAATATTCTAGCATATATGCAAGACGGAAAACGAGCGTTGTGTGTACTAGCATTGTTATTAGACTTGAATCATGAGTGTGGGTTATTGTTTAAGAGTGATGTGCAACAGGGCGGATATAGTTACTGCTCCAACCAACGACACGTGGAGAGGTGGCTTCAGAGCATCAACTTTGTTACTCGTAGTGCAGTAACCGGGAGGTCCTTAGGTTCGAGTCCGATGGGGCAGGATTTGCGAACTAGTTATAACAGTCGCCTCTGCGTGATTTTCCGCGATAAGGTAGCCAGGCGAATGCGGAGCAGTACCTAACGAACAGGCCTACCGACTGTGCTCGATGCTTCCCTTCCACTTCTTTTTCCAATCCTCAACACCATTACTTACACACAGTTATTACATGCACTCCACTACACGCACATGCCGGGAGACGGTTCGGAAACGTGGAGCTTGGCCTGGCTGGGGGCGGGTGCTCCGCTGGTTGGAGACACAGGTTTGGGGAATAGCCGCTACCGATCGCGAGGATCGGCGCCGGATCTTACCGCCCAGGGGGAGTTATAACGCCGCTGGGTGATTAGCGCCTTCAAGCAGCTGAACGTGGGCCTAGTGGAGTGAGCGGCGGCGCCGGCTTTGCATGGTGGGGCCGCTGACGCCTGCCGCGCACACGACGACAGACGTCGTCGGCGGCGGCGGCGGCTGGCGGCTGCGGCGCGGGGCCCATGCGCCATGCACCGTCGCGCCACAAGCGGCCGTGCCGCGGCCGGAGCGCGCCCTTCGTCGAGCCAAGCGCCCGCGCGCGGCGGCGGCAAGGCGGCGCCTCCCGGCCGCCACGGCGCAGCAGCAGCAGCAGAGCAGCAGCAGCCAACAGAGGTACGGCCAGAGCAGCCACACCTCGTTGCCTAGTCATTAATCACATTTTTACTGCAAGTCGATTAACTGTTTTTGGTCCTGGCATTGCTCCAAAGCTCTAGAACTAAGGAAATCTTCGACTTTCGATAATGTGATAGACGTTTTTGCACATTCGTCTATGTGTGAGACAGGCGGTAGAAAACCCGGTCTTGTGAAAATATAAGATATCAAATCGCGGAGCTATGTAGTATAATATTTCAGGTGCGCCCGGGTGACACCATTTTAGGAGTGACACGAGAACAATTTATACATTATCACCATGTAGAAAATATCTTGTATTTTTTATTAAATAATGGTATACAACCTATTCAGTAACATATATTTTATTTAATGGGGGAAGGGGGTGACACTAATGAAGCTACGCCATCGAATCATTTTTCCATCGCTGTGAGCAAGTATTTCCTGAAGGAGCTCGCGGCGCTGTGCAGGGGCGCCCAAGTGCGGCGGGCGACGTGGACGGGAAGGCGCTCTCTCTTCTTGCGAGGGCGCCGGGCGCGGGCGACGTGGCCCGTGTTCCGCGGTGCCGCCCAGCGCGATGGAGACCGGGCCGCTGCGCTGCCGGCGCCGCCAACCGCCGAGGGCGAAGGAGCAGCAGCAGCAAGAGCGCTGCGGCGGGAGCCAAGGAGCGGAAGGGGAACGGCCGGGCGCGGCGGGCGGGCGCCAGGCGCGGCGCCGCAAGGAAGCGCGGCCGCCGCGTCGAGCGCGCCGGCTGCCAGAGCCTCGCAGGCCGCCCAGGCCGCGCGCCTCGCTCGCCTCGCCCAGCAGCAGGTACACGCGCTTCTGGTCGCTTGCGCTTGCCTGAGGCCCTGGGCTGAGGCCCTGGGCTGAGGCCCTGGCTCGGGCCCATGCTTGAATTGAGTTGGCTTAAGTTGAATAAGCCTATTTCAAGTTGACATATCGCAGTGGCAGATCCAGGTGGCTATGCCACCGCCCCAAACAATTGTAATTATATTAAATGTATTCAGAATAATTACGGGATCCACCCCTGAGCTCTCCTGAAATTATTTGATTTGGTTATTGTGGCCCCCGCTTTGCTATAATCCAATATTGATAATCAATTAAGCCCATGTGTTCAACCCTCCATACTCTTCGTAATACATCAACTTTAATGTGATGTCATTGTTTGGTCCATTTCACACTTGCCACCAATTAGAAATCCATCATCTGTGGGATCTATAACGCAGTTTCTTGGACAATTGTTCATTTGCAAATCAATGAAATTGATAATAGTGCAGCACCATCCAATATCTACCTTCCACTTCTTATAGTAAACTCACAAACACTGGGACTGGGAGGTAACAATTGTTAAAACGTTTCAAGTATTGTAATATTAGTATTTTTCTAAAAAGATAACTTTGTTATGAATTTGAAATTCTAACAAGCAGTATATTATAATGTATCTTCTCAAACATCTTTGTAATTGCTAAGATTCACACCACTTCAGTGTTATAGTTATTAATGCTATGGGGCTGATAAGCAGCAAGTATCAGATGCGGGTGACTTTTGTGAACACTGGCAATAGCTGATGTTATAGTCAACCAAGTCCATTATTTGTGATAACTGCGCTGCCTCGTTTCATACTTTTCAGAATACCCTCTTTTATAAGAAATAAATCCTAGTCATTAAATAACATTTCTTACAATAAATGTACTTATGTTCATGCTATTATTAGCTTTTGTTTCAATTGTTCTTAACAGACCCTGTTAAATCCTTGATGGATGCTGGCCATTAAGAGTGGCTTTTTGTTCCTGAGTTTTGGTTGCATTAAGTTCATTATAACAGTGCAGTGTTTTGAAAAAGATTAAAATAGCAGTTTAATGGATAAAGTTGGACAAAAACTATATATGCTGCAACATTACTTAATGTCTTAAATTATTTGTAACTTTTACAATTTTAAAAAATTCAGAGAGATGAATGAAAATCAGGCCCTTTTTTGTAAGCTTGACAATATTAAAAAAAAATATATTAAAAAAAAGAAGAACAAATTCAATGCGGTTTTTAGAAAAGCTTGATTTTAAATTTGCCTTTCTTTCCACGCAAAATTATGGGAAAACCATTCATACTTTGAAGAAACTTCATAAGATCTCATTTAAAGATATATTTGTTAAGAACAGAGTTCATGAAGAAAAATCTCTAATATTGTGGAAAAGCACTGAAAAAATTAAACTTTTGAAATTTTCGAAAATTCAGATAATTTAATGAAAATTAGACGTGTGCAATTTTTGTAAGTGTACTTTGCTCTGAGATGAAATGTTTGTGCCATTCTGGGAGTGGGGGAATGTCTGTGAGCCTTTGTGTAAAGTACCTCAAAATCAAAATATCCATTTCAATTTCAAGGGGCCACGATTTCAGTCAGATTGATGAGTGAATATAAATTTTGGTCCTGCCTATGGTTTATGCTTTCATGTATTGTCTTTAATGTATATATGCTTTTCATGTATATATTCCTTTCATGTATATATGCCTTTCATGTATTTCATATAGGCTGAGCAAGAAAAGAAAGTGGAAGAACCTGAAGTCACAATTCTGGAAGATTCATCAGACGAACCAAAGATTATTCCGGCCACTCCACCACGATCTACAGGTGCGTTTAAATTAAAAGTGAACAAGTTTATTGCATATCATTTTTACACAACATAAAAAGCATTAAAAATAAGAGCAATTGAATAGAATGAGATAAAAAGTTGTATTACTGACCAATATTGTACCAAGTTTGAAAAAGAGTTTAAGGATAGAAAACTAGATTCCTGATTGACCTTGAATCATGATTTTTAGTTTTCAATATTGGAAACGTTTTCAAGGCTTGAAAAAGTAAACAAAAATTATTGGATAGCTATTGATAATCGACTTCTTTTTGTTTGAAAATTTGTTTTTTAACAAGATAGCTAATAGGCATGAACTTTATTCTGAAATGTTTTGAAAATTGGGGTTTGATTCTAAAATCCGGTTATGTTGCCTGATGTTGTCAGAATCAGAGTCACAACCTACTACACCTGCCAGCGTCTTCTTCTCATCACCTGTGGCTGCTTCATCTCCTCTCACATGTTTTGGCAAGGCGACTTCTGCAGCTTCTCATAGAGCTGACCGCAAAGTATTGAATTATTTCTCTATGTTAGATTTTTCTTTGTATACCATTATGCAACTTTATTATTATGAAAAACCTTATGCAACAGATAAGTACTTCATTGTCCGTGTATGAATTTTGGAATGGCATTTAGAGGGTCTAGTGATGTGAAAGTTTGTAAATAGTAGTGTAGGTTTGTTTAGGGCTAGGTGCAAATAGTAATAGTAATAGCTTGTGCCCTGAACAAGGGACACTAAAGGATGTTTTAGAGGGAAAGGTTAGTTCCGGGGAGGACAAAGAGGTGGTCAGAGGTGTGCATTGTGAGTGTAAGAGAGCATGGATGTATCCGCCAGTATTGTGGTAATTGCAGGAGATTTTTTAAATACTAAAAGTAAGTGCTTTCAGGACTGTATTCCATTTAATTCTCCATGAATTTATAAATGATCCAAACATTCAACATATTAATACTTAGTTTTTAATTGTGAGATAAAAAGATAATCCAAAACTAAAATCAATAAAACTCTTTGTTAACGGTTAATTTTTATCACCCTAGAATAGCATTTATTTTTGAAAGGTTTAAACCAAATAGGTGAAAGTCTAAAAATTATTTGTCTTCCCTGGAGCTCCTTATCCCGAATGTTTCTCATTAACATAATAACATTCCAAAATTTGTATAGAGATATAATATTCAATTTTTCTCAGGAAGGAGATTTGGATGATGGAATGAGAACCACAGCATCACCTGCCGCTGTGCCTGTAGTGGTGTTAGATGAAGAGACTCGAATGAGTGCTGACATCAGTGTTGCTGATGGAGACATGGATACTAGGAGTGGTGGTCTGGAAGCAGATAGTCGGCCCAGCACTCCTCCTCAAGCCATTTTGCCTCCCTCGGAGGCCCCACCTTCACATTCTGCAGACAACGGCACCGCTGTGGATGTGGAGTTGCTGAGAGAGGTAAAGAAGCTGCTGCCCGAGCCATTTCTGTTGTATCCGTTGTATTTGTCGCATATTTTTACATGGTCAAATGTGATGTTTGTTTCTGAAAATCCAGGGGAAATATGATAAACATGAGGAAGTAGAAGAATAGATAACATAAAAACAGAAATGGTGTGTTTCATCACATTCAATGCTTTTGATGTTCTTCTGTTTGAGACAAACAAAAGATGATGTTGAAACTTGATTTCCACAGGGAAAGACAAAATAGAACAGTGCCCACTTGCAGATATGTATTTTTCCAGCTTGATTGAAATCAGTATGCAGGGAGGAAAGGAAAATAAAGCCAGAAATGAAAGCCATTTTCCCATAATTTCAGATTCTATTTATTAGAGAAGTACGTAGATAATGCTTATGTAGGCTTCTGCTGCCGGAGACTAGGATGTGATGTCTCCTGGACAGCTGAGTAGCTAAATTAATGCTTAGTTTAATTAGGAAAATATATTTATATGTATATCAAATTACTAAAACATAAATTTTACCCAAGTTATATGTAAAAATATTTATTAATATTTTATAAATATAATATATAAAAATATTTTATAATATATAAAAATATATATTTGACAAATATTTATTAATATTTAATAGTAACAAAAAACTGTTCAAAAGACATGAACATAAATTGGATGTAGTGTCTAAAAAAAAAATATGAAAGGATAAAAATATACACAAAACTATCCATTGTTTTGAATTGGAGTGAGTCAAAGAAATGCCAGCAAAGGGGATTTTCATATTCTTTCACAAGATGTTGATAGTGTATCAGAGTGAATGATTTTCTGAAAGAAAAGAAAAGAAAAACAGAAATGGAAAAGACAAAATGTGAAAAAGTGGAAAACATAAGGAAATCAAATTAAGTGAAATCTCAGTATAAAGTGCATTATCAAATCAATTTAATTTTTTATACTTCACACTGAAAAGTACTTTATATTCAAAACAATTTCAACTAATTTATTTTAAATAGTTTGCCCAATAAACAGAAATATTGAAAAAGATACATACCACTCATTAAAAAATTTTGTGGAAGTTTGTTTTGTTTTTTTTGAACAAGTTGCTTTCCACAAACTGTTCAACTACAAATAATGATTTGAGAACTGTCTGCAACATTTACTGTATTTTTCTGAATATACATTTCAACTTCTGCACCTTGAAAGCTGTAAACATGACAACAAATGTATGTGCAACCAGTGTCCGCTACAATTAAGATGATGTGAAATGAATTTCCGGAAGATCATAATGTTTGAAATTGAAAGAGTTGGGATTCCGCATTATGTGATTATGGTGAACTTGATTTTCTCTTCTTGAAGTCAATTGATATCTTAATATCGATGTGTTATCCAATGCACATTATGTACTGTGGACTTAACCTTAAAGGAAATGTTATGTAATAAAAATTGCAGAAAATTTGGAGACAACAGCAGATTCAATGGAAATGAAAATATTATTAAAAAAAAAAAAATTTAATCCAAAAATTTTTACAACGTAATACTGAAATAGGCCGGAGTAGGATGTTTGTAAAAGTGAAATATTTTTACATTGTAACATAGGGCATTTAAATGGAAATTTCAAATATGAGTGTAAAACTGAAATGAACATGATACATAAGTCCATTGTACTGTTATTTCACTATAAATATTACTCAGGCCTGGCACCTCAGCAGAAATCATTATTAGTACTTTCACTGCCAAGCACTCTGGTGGTCATTGAAACCTGTGCAATACATATTTGACATGCAGGTGGAATTTCACTGGGTCGAATGTAAATTCACATACCTTGCAAACTATCATACATAATTCATTGAAATTTTCAGGACATACATTATAAATGTTAAGGTTATGATATCTCGTGTAACAATCATCAGGGTATAGCGGTATATTACAATCAATGCACAGGAATTTTGTGGAGCTTCTAATTTTTTTGTTCCCATATCGGTTGTTTCAAGTGGTGCAATTGTTTTCATCGAACCCCTCTCACTAACTTCTGAATCATAATCTCTATCATTACATTACATCATATTCACCAGAATAGTCACAAATATTTCTTCTACTACAGAGGGAATTACCTCAGGATGTAGAGATCTATCTCTACTGGCACATATACAGGTAGCCCTTTTCTCAGCAAATGAAACAAGTTATTTTAAAGTGAATTTCATTTCTACAGAAGCAATGAACATTGAATAAATGTATAGATATCCAAAGATCACAATTTCATGCTTCATTGGTAAAAAAATCTCTGCATTTGAATGCCATCCTATGGAGATCTAATATATTATTTGAATGCAAGTGCTGACACCTTGTTTGACGTGCTTGGCAGGGGCAGAGGGGAAAATTAAAAACATTGATCAATGTGTTTGGCAGTCAAAGTGATACATATTTTGCTATTTCCTTGATCCCTTTCTATATATGCTCAAGCCCCAGACTGTGCGTGTGTATAAACGTAATTGGGTGTGATGTTGCAAGAGAGCTTTTCATGCAGGGAGAGGATGCAGCAGCTGGAGGTGCTGGGGCTGACGCAGGCCCTGCGGCTGCTCCACCTGCAGCAGGAGCAGTACCTGGGGGAGAGGAGAGCCAGGGCAGTGCTGTTAGTAGTGCCACTGCAGACAGTACGCCAGGAGTTCGGCGAAACAAGTGTCGTATGGAAGTGTGCGATCCAGATGCGTAAGTGGTTTTCTAAAATTCACCAAGCTTAGTATTTTACTTGTGATTTATTTTTTCTTATCTTTGCAAGATTTTGATGATGTAAGATGGAACAAATTGAGGTGTGAAAATTATTTTTGACCAATTTTGACAAGTAATTATTCTAATGAGAAATTCTTAGTCATACACTGTTAAGTCCATCTTTGGATTAAAGTTTTGGTCAATCTTAATATTAATGAAAGCATTGAATATTATTACAAAATTCAACTATTGATTATATTTTTTTACAATTTCCATTTTGAGGATTGCATTTAGCCGTGTTTCTTTCAACAACTCTTTGGTATTTACAAAGTTAAATTGCCACTCGTCACCTCTCTGTAAAATAGTCTTTCTTTTTGACATTTAATTGTCTAGGTTTATTTTCATGGGGAGAAAATAAATATTATTGACAGGGAGATAAGATATAAATAATATAGTGTTTTCAAAATAATTGTTGGAATCTAATTTCCAGTTATTCAAACATGAGTCATGTTATATTCGGTGTGAATGCAGTAATTTAAAGGTGATTGAAATTAAACACATCTTTAGTCATCATAATTGTGTGATGTTGCAAACGATCAGCACAAGGGAGTTGCAATTGGAGGTTTTGTAATTAACCATGATTATGAGATCTACATTAGTTGCTCTTATTCTTCCAGGAAGGACTTTACAGTGGATATGCTGGCAGAGTATCAGTGGCCCCCTGGTCGCACTGGGGAGCCTCTGATGTTGCAAGAGCAGGTTGCAGAGTATCTGGGGGTCAAGTCCTTCAAGCGGAAGTACCCAGATGTCCAACGGCGAGCCGTGGAAGCAGAAGAGAAGACATTCCTACGAGAAAAGGGGTTAGTCTCGGATAACCTCTCTGATATGGGTAAGTTTGATTTTCTTTTCTTTTGTTTTTTCTTTGAATTTCTCTTGGACGTATTTTTGAGTTGTGTAGAGTGCTTCCAGAAATGATAAACTTGCAATTGCCTGATGAGCTGATGTCAAAAGATATTTGAATCAACGTTCTCATAATGTAATACCTTTTTGTTCTCATGCATTGAACCTCCATGCCACTATTAGGATATTTAGTTTTGTAAATTGTAAATCAAGGGCACACATTTCTGGGCACCTTACTTGCTAGGGAAGGGAATAGGAGGAATAGAAATTATTGTATATTCACACAGAATAGAAAATAAGAAATAAATCCAGTAATGAAAGCCCCAAAAAATAAGTATGTAATGCTATTTTGAATCCAGTAGAGTTTGAAAGTTTCTACCATTACGTTAAGTATTTACTTGTCATGATAAGCATAAATATGTTTGTGAATCAGATTTTTTACCCGAATATAAAAGGAAACCTAATTTGTAAGAGATCTTTTGAGAATCTTTTTTATTTTCAACTAATTCTTATTGATAAGTCAACATAAATTGAAAATAGTGTTATTCAGTAGAAATTATCTTGTTGATGTTAAACATTTTCCTGAGCAATTATGTATGAGATTTTCTATTTAATTGATTATAAATATCATCATGTGTTTTTGTCATTACTGTATTCATCTCAATGTATCGTTGTTTTATTTATTTTATGATCCTATCTCACACTATGTCACCTTTAATGTTTTAGGTTGCATTCTGATCAGCTTCGAAATTCTATTCTATGTCTAGATTATCTTCCTGTCAGCACTTATCTTAGCATCTTTTTTCATCATTAAATTAAAATTAGCATTCACATTTACAATTTGCATCGTTGAATTGTCAACTGCAAACTCTTTCATCTCGGTACTAGTTGAGTAACATGAGGGAGAGCAACAAAGTTTCTGATGTTTTGGATTTTCTTTTTGCTAAGAAATATTTTATAATAGTTTTGTATTTGTGGTTAGTGTAGAATGGTATTTCTATCATGGTGCATTTTTTCATTTCAGTCTTTTGAAAGCACTGATTTGCACTTCCCAGGCATCAAAGTAAGAGTCTCGGCATCACACAATCCTCGCTTGTTGAGCCACACGTAACAATATAAACAGACTTGTCTTCTTCCACGTTGCATTTATTTGCAGTATATTCATTTGAGGGTCTCTCTTTACCCAGCTGTTGAAAAATATTGCGGTATATCCATGTGGGTGCTAGGAAAATCCATAAATATAGAAGAATTATTAGTTAATAAGGATTTTATTGGTCTTCCCGCTCTTATACAACAGTGGTTGGAAATCTTGAAATGAAATAGTAAAACAAATGTAGAATCGACCAACACAGCTTAATCTGTGTATATTATAGACCCTGCCCTTTTCTAAATAAGATATTTAGGGTAAAACCTTTTCTTATATTCAGATAAATATGGTATATTGAAATTTAATTGATAAAATAAAAATATCTTCTCTCTTCAAAATAAATGAAACAATAGTAGTGTGCAATTTCTCCTGTATAGTTTTCAAATTGTATTTTATGACAGATCTCTGTTTCATTATTTCTATACTTCAACACCTCATTATTCTAGGGAAACTTTTTATTTGCAGAGATCTAGCTCCATTTGCATATATTGTCCATTGCATATGATACTACTAAATACTTCACTTATTAAATAATGAATGGACATGACATGTTCTGAAAAGTTTCTGGTTAGTTTCTACTTGTATTGAAATATCATCCTACTAAAGAAAGAATTATTTCAGGTTTGACTGCAATCAGCAGTGTGGAAGTTTTGGACATAAGTTCACTGATTTCCCAGAGAAGTATGAAGAATACAAGAAGACATCTGCGAGAGCGAAGCCAAGAAATGTCTTTGAAGCAAAAATGTAAGTTTCTAACATTATATAAAGCAAAATTATTAAGTTAACCCCTTAGCTTCCCATATGGTCTGACAATTTATCCAGTGTCACAATGCTAAATTTTCCTCTCTACATCATTTCTTCTAATACAACAATTTCCTCCATGTATGCTCAATATTTTTGAACTCTATTATCACTTTTATGAGGTTTAAGCGAGGTCATCGAGGTCACCTTTATGGGTTTAGCGGGAGAAATGTGTATAATTATTGTCATGGATGCAGACTCTTCCTAATCTTGCCACTGGCTAAGAGCCACGCAACATTTTTAACGCTGTCAAAACTGGCATATTCTTTAATTTAATGCGAACAAGACTTCAGCTTTTCATCAGAAAACTTGCGATGACAGTAAGAAAAGTAAGGAGCACCTTACCATTTTGTTGTGCGTGAACACCAATGGAAGAAAGAAACTAAAACCTTTGATCTTTAGATGCCTTTGGTTCTGTTATTTGTAGATAAAGTGCAGCACATCCTACAGATATTTCATTTCTGAGAGATGTAAAAGTGGTTTTCGTGCAACACAATTGCACTTGCCATCTGTAACCTCTGAATTTGAGCATAATACGTGAGCCAGGAAGCCATTGTAGCTCACATTTGAAGCTAAATATTTTACAAGCCATGAATTTGATTATGTATTCTTGGATGAAAGTGAGTGCTGAAAATATCAAAAACTGGAAAGCAGGATTCCATGGGATTGAGACAGATGTTCCAGAGACATTCGAAGGATTTGAAACATTTAGAAGGTTCATTATGGCCCATAAACATGGAGACAAAACCAAAGCTCAACATTTTCATTTGGAACAAGAAATGTGTCTGATACAATTCGGAAGAAATAAGAAGCAGGGTAGGGGAGTATTTGGGTGGTTTGAATATGGTCATGAACTTTCAACTCAATGTACATCAAGTGACAGTGAATTAGACATTTAGAAGATCTATTTATCAAAAATTTATTGAATTTATGAAATTTTGTTTACTTGATTGTTGTGTACCCCAAATACATTATTTGAAAATGCACAAGTTTATTTACTTATTCATAATTATAAATTGGGACAAAGTCATATAAATCCATATTCGTATCATTCAGTTGGTGGTGTTATTGATATGTTCTTTTTAACCCATTATCGGCTAAAGGTAGAAAAAATTGATAGAATGACATAATTCTTACTGCGTAGTATTTATTTACTCTTAAAAACACAAGAATGAAATGAATTTTTTTAAAATTATTATTTCAATTTTTTTTTATTTGCTGTTGCAGAAACACAATGTTGGCCGCTTGTAGGTACAAGCAACATCGAGTATTATAATGGTGTTCTTCAAAACATTTTGTTTGTAATTAACAATTGCACTTTACATTGATACAGTGTTTACATTGATATTGAAACCTCTTGTTTTGTTATCTGATTTTACAACAATGTGACATCCTCCATCATATCTTATTCTGTCCGAAACAGTTGAGCTACGTGAGCTTCCTCCAGTATATTCAACATCTTCCGTACTTTCACATATTATGAGGCATCTTGCAATATAAGTTTTAAAATCCAATTGTCTCGTGGGTTTCTCTGGTGTCAGAAGGTTGACGGCAAATTCAAAGACAGCTGTCTTAAGGAGTTGGTAACTAGCAGCCACTACCATTGTTTTCCCAGTATTTGGATTTGATAATTTGTGACTTTGTTTTCATGAATATCTACTCCTCCCATAGGTTTATTGTAATTACTTAGTAAATACTTAGTTGCAATGGTAACAATGTTGTCATTACACCTCACCATTGTAATCTCATTTTTATTGTCTTGTGCACACTATCGTAACTTCCTCTTTGAGTCTTTTGCATTTCTTTTTTTTCTGTGCATGAACATTTCGTACAGTTTTCCTTTCCACAAATTTCAAACGTTCCTGCGATGTCTTTTTCCAAAACGTCCTCAGTAAGCGCATTGTTGTCTATATCGTTATCAGTCAACGCTGTCACTTCTGGTGTCATATAAACAATATCAACATTTTCATTTTTCGAATCAGATGAAACAGATTCATCCAATTGCAGTATGTTCTACTGTCAAAGTTTTCACACGATCTGAATTCTATCAAAAGAGAAAATTTAGAGTTATATTTCAAAACAAAGATATAATTGAAAAATAAACTTCCTTACCTCAAAAAAGATGCATACCATGGCCCACAACTATACCACAATGTCATAAATGACACGCAAGAAATAAAATGAACTTATTTAGCATGAAAACAGCAAACTGGCTGAAGAACTGAAGAAACAGTAATATTACAAGTCTTCTAAGAGAGCGCCCCATGATGACATGCACCTATTTGAGTTGACACCTGCTTCTCGGAAAAATCACTGATAGTGCCATAGTTGCGAAAACGCAATAGGGAAATCGGCTCCAATATTACAACGCAACAATTGGTATGATAATTGAATTTTCAAAAATACTTTTTCAGTTAGCACTATAGCATTACACTACAGAAAAAAAAATTGAATTTTTCAGAAAAGAGCTCTTGCAACTAATTAGAAATACGTTGTGTTGTTTGGTTGAAAACATAAACCTAAACAATTCCTCAGAATAAACCTGTATGTTGAGAAAACTGTATAAAAACCTACAGCACAACAGAATAAGGAGTAAAGGAAAGTCCAAAGTGAGGTATTCGGAGTTTCATTTCAGAGACACTAAAAAAAATTAAATATTTGGTGTTGCTTTTTTGCAATGGTGGCTGTAAATGGATTAAGACCATGAAGGTTTTCAGGTTAATAGAGTGCAGTATTAGCAATTAATAGCCAGTAAGAATTTTCTCAAACAACATGACATATCAGTTTATGTATAGTTGGTCGTGTTATGCTAGTTGCCAGACTTGAGAAGAACTATTTTAATGTATTTCTATTTAGAAGGAAAAATTCTGAGAGTTAAAACATTAAATAAGATCTAAAGCTTGTGTCTGCCTCTCGCTTTGCCTTTACATCCTGTTTGTAGTCAGTTTTAATCTTGATTCATTTTTTCTTCAGTGATAGCAGTAACCAGCAACGCAGAGCGATCAAGACTTGACTACAGGGAGAGAGCTACAAGCTCAGCAGCGTCATGGAACGCAAAATTTAACAGAGCTCGTCGGGACCAGAGACGTGCGTGCTTCGACTTGCAGAACCTGACTGTGCATTTTCCAGCGACACGTGTCAAGAAGATGACTCGGGAAGTCCCCAAGCTTGGCAATTATCCAATTGCTCTTATACCTGGCCAATATACTGACTATTACAAACCGTAAGTTCTATTATTGTTTTTGTAACACAAATTTTCTTCTTCTCCATACATCACATACAGTTTGTTCTGCTTTTTGACTAAATAAATCTAAATCTAAATGAAGTGTTGTGAAAGAAGGGACTTATATCACTACATTGTGCAAAGCATAATATGCATTGGTTACCCCCACAAAGATTTCAAAGCTGCAATTTATTTTATTTCATCATCCATTGCTGAGTAAAAATTAAAAACATGTTTAGAAAGGTTTTGCTTCATAAAATGCATTTCACTCTAAAGAGAGTGTACCCATAAACATGTAGAATTCTTTATCTACAACCTACTCCACCCTATGGGGTTTTGTCACTTTTGCATTTACAGCTGGTTACTGAGACAATAACTGAATATTTTGTTTTGCTTATTTCTATCAGTGTGTTTGTCATGATAATTTCTAATAATTATAAACATTTATATTTTTAATAAAATTTTTCATATTTAAGAATTAAATCATGCTAATCAAAAGAACACACATGGTATTTTGTATGGTGTTCATAAAACAAGTTAATCTAAATAGTCAGGTGAAATGTTCCCAACTAAAATATTTCTTTATGTGGTATTCAAATCTGTACAGTCTACTTCGCTATCAGTTGGCACTTCCTTCTCATCTGTATTTTTCTCCAAGTCATTCGAAAACATCATTGGAATATCACTGCTCCTCATTGCTAGAACTGAAGAATCTCTGCAGAACTATGATATCTTAAATTTTACGAACTAGCCGAAATAATAAATAATTTGTATCGGTCTCAGCATTTTTAACCCAGGTTAACATGCAACTGTGCAGATTTGTTAAGTGCTTTTCTACCTATCTGTATGTTAAGAAATTTAAAATTCTTAGCAAAGTAAATAAACAACCATCAATTTATCGCAAGTCAAATGTTTATTAAGAAAGAAAAAACATGGTAATGTACAAAGCAGATCAGATTCAAACAATTCAGAATAAAAGTAACTTGTATTAATTTTGGGGATAATTTTTTTTTTTGGGGGGGGGGAGGTAATATTAAGAGTACATTTAAAAAATGTCTGGTAGGTAAATTAACCTCGTTTTCCAGTCATTCCACTAAGTGAAACTCTTCTCTGGTAATCATATTTACTGATGATCTGAAGGTGTCAGCACTGTACGTCGACGTGCCAACTTCCTCTCCGAACGTCATTTCTTTAGGTTCACGAGAATTATTTTCCATCTTTTCTTGAACCACAGTATACAAATGTTGTTAAAATATATTGCAAGTAATAACTCATAATATTATAGTAACTTGCTGCTGCAACAGAATTAGTTTGTTTACTATCGCATTAATGTTGAAATTTTCATATTAATCGTGAGATTTTATGTTAACCAATTAAATGCTGACCAAACCACAAAATGTTAATGTTATAAGTGCGTCGTCCAAATTAAATGATACATTAATGAAAAGTATAAGAATGTGGTAGGCTCAAGGCAAACCATCTAATAGGTGTGAAGGTGGCACCTCAGGGTGACTGCAGAAATAAGCTTACAAAGAAATATTAATTCAGAGCAAACTTTTCTCTTTCAGAAGGAATTAATTTTAATTCAGTTTTAATAATATAACTAAATAATAATTAATTCCTGTATTGCTCTAATTAAAGCTCTTGTTTGACAGATACACCCCAGCTGAACTTCGCTACTTCCCATTAAATACTGTGCTCTATGGACCAATGAAGCCCAATGAACGTCAAGAAACAGGAGGTGGCTCCGATGGCAGTCAGTCTGAATCTGATGACTCCAGTTCCTCAGATGACTCTAGGTAACTCTTTGATTCAGAAACCCTATCCAATTAAATATTGATTCTTACAACCAACAAATAAATATTAGATTTATTTAACTACAGGGTGTTGCATGAAAAGTGTTATCATTTGTTTCTTACATAATTTATGAGTCACACTAGATATCTCGTTGAACATCTCAACAGCAGTAGCAGTAGAGCGTGGAGAAACAAATGGAATTACAAAACAACACGTTATTCATTACTAGTTTATGTAGCAATGGCCGACGATGGAAGACTGACAATGCAGCAGCGATCGGCGATTGTGTTTCTTTTTCCTGAAACAAAAGGCATGTTATGGCACAAAGACATTTTCAACAACAGTTTGGCACACAATGGACCCCTTTGTAAAAGAACCATCCATTCAATTGTTTTCTGATCTCTTTATCTAGTTTTGCTGCTCTGGCCACATGCCTCCAGAAACTTCATTTGAACTGCTTCTAATCTCTGTGGGTCTGTATTTCTCGTGGTTCAAATTTCTGATGTAAACATAAATGCTGATTTTGCTGTTATTCTATGTATTTGTCAATATTTTTTAATATTTTCTGATGCTTTTTGTTTGTAGTTTGTTTTTTCTATAAAATTTTTGTTTTCCAAGTTGTTTTGCTCTTGTCCAATTGTTTTAATTAATTAAAATTATTTAATTAAATTTCTTGACTTAAATTAGTTTCTCATTTATTTCTTTAATCTTTGTAATTGGCCTCAAAAGGCCACACTCTTGGTTTTCCTCGCATGAAATTTTCACTTCATATTGTTATATTTCATTTAATTAATGTTTGATGGCACTACAGCCAAGTTGGGCCTCAATCCATTCAAATAATCCACCTGACCCTTCTCTCTGTCCTCTGCTGCTTCCAAATAATCACTCTCAACTGCTCTATTACTTCCTGGCACTTTCCTGTTTCTAGTTGTTTCACCCATTCGCGTGCCACATTGAACATTGTGGGCACCTATCTTGTCTAACCTCAGGTATTCCATGTAACTATCAGATATCTTTCATTTTGCATCTGTTGTGATTGCTTGTCATAACAAAATAAGGCCTTAAAAAAACAATTGCTTTGCTACTTGCTTGCTGGACCGTGTGTAGATGCAAGAGTTCGTAAGGTTCGAGAAGGTAAAAGACAGGGAATCACTTAGTTTTCTTTGTTCATGATCCAATGCTGTTGACAAAGTGTCTTCCTTTTCCTCTGCTAGGGTATTGAGAAAAGGGGGATGAATAATCAGAATGTGCCTGCCAGGTAATAACACACGCAGTGTGTTCTTGCACCCTTCTTCTGTCTGAACTATCGCTGTAGTCTGTGACATTAACATTGAATGTGAAGTAAGATCATAAGAGGAGCATATCAGATAAAGCACTTGGTTTTACCTGATCTACATCAAAATACACATCTACATTGAACCATGTTTTCTTCTGCAAACAATCTGATGTACACAAAAAACAGTTTTGTTACTACTGTGCATGAGAGCAGCAATTTCATATCTTTCAGAGTCAAAAATATCTGATCTAATCTGAAGAAGAGACATTGAGTTTCAATAATAACAAATAAAGAGAGTATTCCATTCTTTAGTTTGCTTTTTCACAAACTTAAACTGCAAAAAGAAAAAAATTGTTGATGATTGACAGATGGTTGAGGATAAGTGGAGTGATCAGGGGCATAAACGACAGCTCGTTGGCAACTGAAGGAACAGAAGCATGACATACTCCTAAAATATTTTCTTGTCATACTCGAAATACATTCAAGGGAAACTAGGTAGTTTCAAAAAACCCTTGTTGTTATAGCTATTTAAGTTAAAAGTGAGCCCAGCACTCACCTGTCAACCAATAGCGGAACTATGTAAGGGAACTTCGTAATATGTACTACTTGTACTGTAAGCATGAAACATTTTAAGATGTTACAAAAATTATGAAGGTTTGCAAATGTAAAATGTTGTATGAAATCATGTTTCTGGACACTGAAGGATTTTTTCCTGTGAGTAAATGTTGAATCCTCTTCAGATTTACTATTTTCCAAGTTACATGAATCCTAAATGAACGTGGGAGGGGGGGAGTAAATCAATTGGTAGGGACCTTCCACAAATGGTAGGCTTTCTCTTCTTCCATTCCAAAAGATGGCTGCCACCTAGCCATCATGTTTTTGCAGTTTTCATATTTTTTCCAACCATGTTGTGAACATTTGAAAGTGATCCCCATTGCTTGTTCAGTAAGTATTATTCATTTTATTTATTTATTATTTATTTCATATTATTTGTTAATTTTTTAATGTAATTCACTGTATTTCTTTTTGTTGCCTTTATGTTAGTTTTTCAATTTTCTCCTCCTTGCTAGAGACCCACTGAGGATGGGAAAAGTGTTTTCCTGAAAGTTAATTCCGGGTAATAATTAATAAAATTAGTATACTTTTTGTGGATGATTATTTCCTTTATCATATTATATGTACTAATATTTTCAGTGCATCTGATTTGTTCTTTTCTTCGGATTAATACATTTACTCAAGTCCAGATCTTTGAATTAATTGTACTCATATTGCAATATTCAAATTCCTCATCAAATGGAATTTGTATTTTAATAAATCCTGTTTTTAAAGAGTGTCCTTTTGATATACAGCAGCAGCTCATCAAGTGAAGGTACTCAAGACACTGAAGAAACTGGCTCAACTGCTGGTGATGCTGAAATGGACAATGTTGCCGGAGGGGGCAGTGCCAACGGCGGCAGCAAAGGTGAAAGTGCATCCGCACCTGATGCAACACAGAGTTCTGCACAAGTCAACGGACGCAGCACTATTAGCACAGGGATAGGCTCTGCAGAGAAGTTGGCAATGAAGGAGGAAGCAGCCATCTGCAAAGTGTGTGGTGGAGATCGCAACCGAAACAAAGAAGGCAACTCCGAAGTTCTCATCCATTGTGCTACTTGCACATCGAGTTGTAAGTATAACTTAATTATTTTTTTCTTTTCAAAGGTTGCATACTAGAGCCTGTAATGTAAGATTTGAGAAAAAAATTTCATCATTTGGTTTTTACATCCGTGTTTTCTCTGATTAAGAGAATGTTATGTAATGCTGTAGAAAACTGTGTTGATATTTTGATGGAGAAAAATTACTCCAGCTTCTAAACCACTAGATTTTCATCAAAATGTATATTCCTTGACTGATCTGGTTGAAGTTGCGGTCTCTCAAATTTTAAATGAATCTTTTAATTTTTTGGAGAAATTTTATATGTTAGACCTTAGGACATTTTTTACATTATCTCAAAAATTGCTCCAGTTTTTTTTTCCCCAAATTTTTTTGCTTCAAAACGCCAATGAATTCTTATAAAAGCAGTTCTATTTTCATTAAAACCTCTGAAATTTTGCTTATTGCAAAACTTTCTTTTTTATTCATCGGAACCAGTGATAAATTGATTTTAAAAAGCAAATAAGACCACTTTTTTCATAAAAAGATTTTAGTTACGTTTTCTTTGTTATTCTTCGAGCTATAGAGCAGTGTAAATATGACACTTGTCCAAGCTTAAAAGTTTGTACTTATACTGCCAACTAATTCTAATGTCTGAAAAAGAGAAAGAGGTCCAGGACTAGTTTCTGATCCTCGCACGGAAGGTATATTATTATCAGCTAGGAAGCCCCTAAATGCTTTTTGAACAACAGTAATAGACATGATGACATCATAGACTTCAAACCTGGGAGTCAATCTATTTTAAGAAGATAATGAAGTCTCATGCTCATTCTGGCAGTCCACATTGGTGAGCTGGTGCACTCTTTCCTAAGCTAACGTAAATAAGAGAATGTTTGGTATAACACATGAATACGTATGTTCATGGGCTAATTAATTCTCATGTTGTCAAAAAGATGGCATGTCCATAGTTGCCTTTCAAGGAAGTAATGGCTTAGCTATTCTTCCAATAGAAAGCAAATAACAGATGTTCAAAAAAAATAGAAAATGCCATCATACATGAATACCATATTACCTGAATATAATGTAACTCACGCGTCTCTGTGTGGAACGGGAATGGGAATTCCAATAATAATGGTCAAAAACATTTGCATTAACAAACATTTACTTTAAAAATTTGATGATGATATGATGATGAATTACATATGATTTGACAATTTTTCATAAAATAAACCGACCCTTTCTTTCATTATGCATGGTCATCTACTTAAATTAATACAATAAAAACAAAAATGGGTCTTCATGGTTACTTTGTTCTGAAGGACCCTTTCACCCCCTCGCTTCGTCAGTAAGTGTTCGACCGCATTTATGCGGAGCCAAAGGGATATTTACCCTCGTTTCTGTTGGCGGCTGCTTTGCACGCCCATGGTGTAGTCGCCGTCGTCTCTTTCGGCCGCCCCTTCCAGGCAGAGGCTGTGAACACAGGGTTCCCGCTGGTGCCGTATTGATTCGCCGCGCTACCGCGGGGCTCACTACTCAATCGGCGTCTCCAACCTGAGGCAGCCACGGTATTCATCGCGATGAATGGAAGTTAAACAACTTCCTCCGCAATATGCTTCGAATGCTACTTGATTAACTGAGCAAGGCAAGTGAATAACCGTGACGGAATATCGAATCGAGATTGAAACCAATTGGTTTTCATGGCCGAGTCAAAACTCGAGTGACTTCTCATGGCCGCTCCAGCTCAGTATCAATGCCACGTCCCCGTCTCACCCCATCGTCCACTCCCGCGTCTCCAGCCATAAGTGCTTACCGAGCGGGGGCCTAGTAACCATCAAACTGTACCCCATCTCCCTCGGAAGAACGTTTACCTCCCTGATACGCGGGTGTTAGAATTTCCCGTAGCAGGGTGGAGGCGTGTGTCTGACCAATCACGACGGGAACTCTTCTTAACGGCCAGAATGTTCAGTTACTGTGAAAAAAAACTATGGCCCTTTTTTATTTTCTTCGGCACGTGCGGCGCTGACCGTTTGGTCGTTAAATTCTTCCCCCCCCCCACCCCCCCCGAGGAAGTGCACTCAGCGTGGGTTCTTTTTATGAGCGTGTCGCGCTTGATAGGCGGCACCACTTGACATATTGCGCGGGGTGTCTGCCATAAAACATTTATAGAACCCTCGCCCTAGACGGACGGGCGCGAATGCCTACGACCCTCCCTTCCTCGCAGCTGCGTCGCGGGCGTCTACTATTTTTTCTTATTTTTTTTCATGTACATTTTCCAACGCAGGAGCTTGTACCGTTACAATAAGATGAGGTTTTTCCTTAAATATCCAAGTTAAAAAATGTGGGGTCATCTTATATTTGCAGATAAAGCCTAATCAGTTAGGGTTGTTAAGTTTTTACATTGCCATTCACAAAACATGCAATGTTGGCAGGACTTGTTTTTCATTTCAAATGTTCAATTCAATTACCAGCACAGGCTTTGTAAAGGATTAGAAGATTGTTTGTGAAGCCTGTGAGTTAAAGTTCAAATCCCAGCTTGAGCAAATATTCTTGGGGGTTGGAAACACTTTTATGAGTAGTATTTATTTACGACATACGTTACAAATAATGCCTCTGTAGCCCTAGTAATCTTGTTAATTCATTTATTTATTTCCTTATATGTTTGTTTACAATTGAGTCAACAACATGTTATAAGTAACAAATGTAATAAACCGTCGACTACTTCATTACTAAAAATGCTATTCTTAAAAGAGTTACTGTGCATGTAGGCTGATTTCTTTATTATAAAAGTTATTCAAAAAGATTGACTAAAATTGTAATTTTGTTTCTGGACAAATGTAATTGATAAGATTTCTATACTGATACTAGTGAATTTTACTATTTCATTGACTGCTTCCAGTGGTCAGATAAACAACCAAACCATATCCAAAATTGAAGTCTAATTAAGTGCCCTAATACCTGAATTTTAGGCTCTTGTAGCTGTCCCAAAATCAAGGGCTCTCCTAGCTGTAGACTAAAATTAACAGGGCCCACCTAGAAAATCTGAATCAGGGAAATTAGAAAAGAAAACTGATGTTATTAAAATATTTAATATAAATACTTCCCTTTTTTATTAATGTTGCTCTCTGCTTTTTACTGATGTTTATTAATTAATTATTCATACTCAATGAAACATCTTATTTAATCACAATTAGAAAAAAACATTTTCTTGAAACATCTTATTTTATTCTGCATCTCTGGCATTCTCCCTAATTTAACAACCTTGCACTTGTTTCTTCTCCCCTGGGAACATTTTTTACACGATCATGACAACCTCTCAGTTCACACAGTAGCCCTACTCCAGACTTTAAAAATGTTCCCTGGAATTCATCCTTCCCAGGAATTTTCTCCCTGAACTTTACGTTTTAGTGTTTTAGAGTAGTGTTCTGTGTATGATGTATAATATTGCTCTAATCCAAGAAATTTTTGCAGGTCATCCTAGTTGTTTGGATTTGACATTGGACATGGTGCCTCATATAAAGAAATATGACTGGCAGTGCACTGATTGCAAAATTTGCATTCAGTGCAAAGACCCTGCAGATGAAGATAAGATGCTTTTCTGTGATATGTGTGACCGGGGGTAAGTTATCTTTTTCTGTTTTTATATTTTATTGCTTGATATCTTGCATTTTGTACAGTACGTATTACAGCTCCCAGAATCTAAGTGCGCTAACATGAAGCCTTCATTACAAGTGTGCTGACTGTAACAATATTTTCCCCTCAACGAACTAAGAAAGAAAATTGCTGAGAATCGGTCATGTTTGCATCTTCTGCATGAGAGGAATACTGAGAAATCAATGTTTTTGCCAGAGAAGTGATGTATCAAGGAACTTATTGTAGTACTATTGAAAGGGAAAATGAAGGTTAAGTACAATTTACAATTCTCCAGTGATACAAAGTCTCATATGTTCATTGCCAGATTACTCTTTGTTTTTGCATCCAACAGATTTTAAATGAAAAACAGAATTTTGTCAAAAATGTCAGTAGGCGCACGAAATGTTTGATGAGAACACTCTTAATATTTTATTAGTTGGAATAATTGCAAGTAAAATTTACACCATAATCAAAGTGTAGGTGTTGTAAACTACACGAAGATAAAACCATAGCAGAGTCTTAAATTCCACTAAAAAATACTTCAATTTTTCCATTGTGCCTTGTAATTTTAGGAGGGATTGAGGTAATGTTTGAGTGTAATATTCTTCTTTGGTGCATCAACAGGTTAAGTAGAGAATGTGGTTAATTTCATTCATTCCCTCCTAGAAGAGTAACTCCATCTCAGCAGATTTGACCTTCATGAGTGAAGCCAACCAACGAGCTCGTGATGTTCTGTGAGAGATGCGCTCAAGGTTTGCTCCTGCTCGGAAAGAATCACGTTCTTCACTAAATGATAGTTAACATTGGGTGGGTGGGACAGGGGGCGTTGGACTGAGGGCATGAGATGTGGTGGAAGTGCACGTGCATAAGTGGCCAGATTCATGGGAGATCGTGATTTTTAATAAAATCCATTTGTCTTTTTCCTCATATGTAGTGAAAGAATTACGTTTGTCATACCATTTAAGTGTGTGATGAAAAGTAGTCCTACGTATTATTTCAGATTAAACCAGAATTTTATTTTATACCCCTCTAAACATTTAAAGAAATGCTTAGAGGGGTATAATGAAGCTAGCTTTTAATGAAATGCCTCTTTTTTTTCCACTTTAGATCAATGTCGTTTAATATAGATATTCATATAATGTTATGACAAAAGGAAATGACCCCTTTGTACGTCTTGTTCATTTTTCTTCAGTTTCGACTAATGAATAATTTTTACCTTTTTTACGTCATTTTTACTGCATTTTTCGCTGATTTAATACGGAGATTTACCTTGAAACAACTGTCCAAACAAAAAGTTGGCAAGCTAAGTTCTCTTGATCAAAAGTAAGAATCCTCGATTGCATCAATAACATACCCAGCAGCTTGAGTTGTTGACCTGAAATGGATTCGGGGTTTTCGAAAATTCGAAATTTTTTTACGTAATTTTTCTGTTTTTACGGCATTTTTTAAAGCTTTTTAAGAGCATTTTCTTAATGTTTGGCAGTGTTTTAAGTCGTTAACATCCGCCCCTAGAGAAAATAATAATAATGATGATGATGATGATGAAGGAACGGTGTGTGTGTGTCGGCAGGTACCACATCTACTGCGTGGGGCTGCGCCGCGTGCCGAGCGGGCGCTGGCACTGCCGCGAGTGCGCCGTGTGCGGCAACTGCGGCGTGCGCGAGCCAGGCCCCGGCCCAGACGCCGCTTGGCAGCACGAGGTAGGAGCAGCCCGCCCCCGCGCCCGCCCCCGCGCTCGAGCTCGCCATCGCCCCCGCCATCGCTCCCGCCCTCGCCAACGCCCCCGCGCCGCCTGCCCCCCTGCGGGCATTCGCCTCTGACTCCACCACCACCACCACCACCACCACCACCACCTCGTTTACACGTCTCTATTTTGGCTTTTCTCTCTTTAAGTTGTTTGTACTCTCTCACATTGTAGTCAATAATATCTAAATTATTTAAGTACATTTGAAACCTTAGCCAACCAACAAAATCTTAATTGTCAGTTTTTGTACGTCTAATGGCATTGTTTCTGGTAAATTGACTTTAAAAAAAAGTGAGAATTGCCAAAATTTTGTGTTACATCTTAGTCAAGTATATTTCCTAGCCTAATTTTAAAATACGGGGAAATTTTGTGTGAGGTAGTCAAAGGCTAAATAGGTTCTGGAAATTGTGTATATGGTTGACTTATATATATGTGTCTACACATTGGTGTGTGATGGAATCTGAATTCTTAAGATTTGATGTAAAATCTACCTCAAAGGTTATGCACACCATGACAATGGTGCTGTCAACTTTTCTTTTGTTACTTGCATCATTTAAGTATTTTAGGTGTATCTTATCTTATTAATTCCCATGATGATTATCTGAGGCAATGTTTTTTATACTCTGCTTTTTTGTAAGGGCACAGTTATTGTGAGTCAGGTTAGCTTAGTTACACTCATAATGTGCGACTCCAAATTGTAATCGTCAATCAATGTTTATATTAAGGCTTAATTGTTTTTACTGTTTGGTCATTGTTTGCTTGTGTAAATGTGTTTTCGTTTTATGTTTCTTAAAATGTTAATTTTTTTGAGTTATTATGATGTTAATGCACGGAATTGAACTAGGAACTTTAGGAAAACAAATTGTTACTTCAAATTTAAGATGAAGATGGTGGTGTGAAAAAAAATAATTTTGTACTCAATTTTTATGTTTACAAGTTTCCTTTTTTAATTTTTTATTTTATTTATTTACTAATGTGAAATTTATTTAATGAATGAATTAATAAACTCGGTGTTGTTTTATTTCTACTCAATATATTTCCATTCCATTTATTTTGAGGAAAAAGGTGCAAATAAATCTATATTTGTTGCCACTTGCATGTCAACAAGAAACTTATTCATGTTTTGTGACATTGACTTTTGAAGTACATGATATCTATATTCATTCAACATGAAGAACATGCAGCCTGCAATGTAAGTATTTGAAATATCAGTAGTGTTCACTGGATGTAGATGACATTAGAAAATTCAAAGTTGCAATTGTCATTCAACATGACTCTAGCATGTGGAGTATTTGTTTTGCTTTAGTTTAATTTTGTGCACCAGTATGGGAAATTGGATTTGGGAAATTAGTGGAAGCTATGTATTTATTTATTTTTAGAAGTAAACTAAAATACTTTTATGCCATTCACTGTTAAAGTAAATTTGTTATTGTATAGTTACTTCTGAGTGATACAGTTGAGAGTTGCTTTCTTCTTAAGTAAATGGCTTTATAGTAATAGCAGGGTAATGAAAACTTGCCTCGGTTTAGTTGTCAGTACTTTGCATATATTATCTTCTCTGACATTTTTCTAGTAGCGTAGCATCAAGTGAAGGAAAGCTTTTGACTTACTTTCTGGGAAAGGATCAGTGATTTACCTAACAAATTTTTCTTGAGGTATATTTCCCCCTAAATAGTGTACTATTAGTAATTCAAAATTTGTTGTAGAAAATGACATTTAATATTGTGGTGTTCATTTAGTTATTTGAATTTTCTCTCAAGTTATAGATTTTTAAGAGTTTTAGATTTAATTTCTATTTTTGAGAATATTAATTCTTAATAAGGAATTTGTAATGAAACTTCTCTCATTAATGATTTCCCATTCATTGCTATTTAATGAAAATTACCATATGATTCTTGAATGCTGAATAATAATCTTACTTTTTATACTCACGAGAAGGGTTAGTGCCATACAGCAGTATGGTGCAGCTCTCTTTAGACTAGACTACTCAAAATCATTCACAGCATTTGTAACGAAAGCAAATAAGAAAACTTTCAGTACAAGTTTATTATTACATTGGAATCAATTACTAAACTTGTGGATGTTGCTTACCTGTTTTTATGAGAAGTGACATAACGAGAATCAGCTGAATGGGGGCCCCTCCATTGACACTGGTTCAGACATGTGAAATACCTATATTTTATAAAGGCGTGACCTTGTGAATTAATTAATCAAAGATTACCATAGCTATTGAATATTTGTAATTCTGCTTTTTGTATTGTGAATGCTAGTTTTCCTCATCAAAGCTAGAATGTTTTATTAAATTAATAAGTACAAAACTAGTTGTGCTAGAGAATAACACAGACTTTCTCGCACTATTTAGTTTTCATAGCTTTGCCACACAATGTGGAATTATATTCCAAAATGTTCATTGTTGGATGCTGACATGGATGGGAGAGAGATCAGATAAGGAGACTTTATTTACTTACCTTAATGTTACGGTGTTGCTGCATTCAATAAAATGGTACATTCAACTTTATTAAAGAGAGGAAAACTATGTATACAGATATGTATAAGAAGGACATTACGTAAAGATACTGTAATTTTGTAAACATAGTAAAGCTCAAGTGATGTGTGAAGTGAGGGCTGAAATTGCAATATATTACGTAACCATTCCAAATAATGCGAGAAAGTATGTACTGTTGAAGCATCTCTAGTTTCAAAATAAGATTAGTTAATCATTATTTTCAGCGAAGTTAATGTTGCAGTTTTCGAACTTTGGTGTTTTTAAACCGATTGTACACCTTCAATAAGGAAATAGAAAGTTGAATGTCTAGCTGAAGCTAGACATTCCTTTTTACTTTCTTGCTACGGAGTACAGAGAAAGTATGTAAAAACTGTGAATTTGCGGTAGAAAAACTCTTATTACTGGGCGTGATAACGAGAAAGTGGTTAAATCCAGTTGCTAAATTTAGGGAGAGGGGAAACATGTATTGAAGCCAGAATCCATATTCTGTGGGTCCTTGATACCTAAAAATCGAATGACGGCAAAACGTGTCTGACCGTACATCAGTGCTAGTCACGCTGGCGGCTAAACCGTTCGGCTGATTTTCTCCAAACTTGATATTCCCTTTCGATCTGGCTGATGGCGCGGCCCATTCAATTTGAAACCTACATTTCAATTTTGAGGGATACTTTACATGAAGCCCCTGGGACATTTTCAAAATTTTCGAAAAATTGTCTTCATCGATTTTGATTACACCTAAAATATTAGTTAATAAAATCTGTTCTTTAATGGTAGATTTTGAAATACGGTCATGTACAATGTTTCGAAAATCTGAGTACTTTTCGCGTAATTTTGTATGAAAATAAGGGGGGGAGGGACGTACATGCTGTTTTAGCACCACTTTTTACATGCCGTGGCCCTTAGATCGCTTCCCCATTGAGTTAAAAGAAATAGATAATAGAAATTGTAGGAAGAGGACGAGGTTTCCCACCAGTGGGCTCGGTTGGACGGTGGGCGGGGCGGGGCAGCGCGGCCGCACCCCTGACTAAAGCTGGGCCCCGCCCCCGGCCCCGCGCCTGGCCCCGCGCTGCGGCTGTTGCAGTACAAGAAGGCTGAGCACAAGGGCACGCCCCCGGGCCCGGCCAACGCGCGCGTCTACGCCCAGACGCTCTGCATCGCCTGCTCCAAGTGAGTGCCACATATTACGTAACGCTAATTTACAGGAGGGAGGTTTTGCACGCCTTAGCGGGCAGCCATCGGCTGCGGTCTCGATCTACTGCGCATGCGCAGAACATTGATAGTGTTTTAACGTTGCAGGGTGCAAAAACTTCTAGTATTTTGAGTCCACCCTCTCCTGCGATGCACCTGTAATGTGAAATGGACCTCCCGCCCCCTAAATAATAACGTAACCCCATTTACAATAAGTAGAAATAAATTATAAAGCAGTAACAAGTTGTATTATTTTGGTTTTTTGTATTATAATGTATGACAATAACATCACCAATTATTATACAAATATTTAATAAATCATTGCAGATGCACCTGACGAGGCGACAATGTGTCTCACAACATACTGTTACCAGGTCTTAAATAAAAAAATAATTTATAACATGGATGACTTTAAATTAAATAAATAATTTATTCAAAGACAAGTAGGTCAAAAACCAAAGAGGTGTAAAAAAGAGACCAATTTTCTAAATATTTTAAATCACATAACAATTACTCTGCCTTATGTCCTACACAGGTTGAGAGTGTTATATTTCTCTTTTCAATAAAAGCACCTTAAAGATATCTTTAAATATATGTGGTACAGTTATTTAGAATTGTATCATCATTTTCTTATAATTCCTTGTATAGTTTTTGCAGCTGTAGCACTGGTTGCACTGGCAATGTAATTGTTAACCAAAGAAAATCAATTGATAAGTTAGCAAAACTTAACCAAATTAAAAGTTGATTGAATCAGGGTACTTGTAATGTACCCAAGATCTAGTTAGAAATATTGAAGATTTTCTTCATTGAGGCACTTGATCAGGTAGATGTGCAAATAATATCTGTAATAAAAATAATGTGAATGGTCTTTCATGCATTTATAATTTTGGGTTGTGTATGTTTTTTTTTCTTCTTCTTTACAAAATTTTTTTTATATCATTTGATCTGTGTTTGCTCCTCTTCTTATTCCATAAACTAATTTCATTTTCTTGCAAATTAATATTTAATATCTAATAATAATATTTGAAATAATTGAATATGATTTGTTATGTAGTTCTATTTATTAATTTGATATATTGGCAGAATAAGGTGTTGTTGTTTGTTTTTTAATTGTTGTTGTTTATATGAAATCACCTTCTCAATACCCACAACTGCTGCAAGTGAACTGTGTAAGTGTTGTCTTAAAGCACTAAAAGTATGATTTTCCTATCCACCATGTTAGACCCAACACCACAACTGGAGTATGGAATTCTTGCTGAATAAAGGAGAGGGTTTGATAAATAAATATGCTACTTATATAATTATATGTTTTGGAAACATGAAAATTAAAATAAAATGAGAGATACTTAAAATGAATTAAAATTAAATGAAGTCGTAGGCTTCCACGGCCAGAATCATGTGAAAGATCTTGGCTGTCCAGGTGAAGCCGCCTTGAAGGCTGTGTTGCTGACATTTCAACCATCTTATCGTGGTCTTCCTCAAGGCTGGTCTGCGGCAGAACGGACAGTGCTCGGGTTTATATATGGGTCGGTTCAAGTATGATTAGCACCAAGTACACTGAGAAAGACCACGATAGATTGTTGAAACGGCTATGCTTCCAAGATCAGTCTCATGAATTATAATTGTTCAAAAAGCACAACCACCTTCCGTGTTATGTTTTGAAAGCACACCTTGCAGCTCTTAACAGTTTCCTCTGGAAGATTCCTGCTGTTGATAATGGATTTGTCTTTGCTGTTTTCAATATTATTTGCCCTTCTTGAAGTTTACTGTGAGTTCTCCTCTACATTCTAGCATTTGAAGCTTTAGAAGGCACCTGTTATAAATAGAAGCGTTCCCCAGTTTAAAGTAAAAAAAGTAATGACTTATTCATATATTTGTCATCAATGCAACAGATTGTGGCGCCGTGGACGATACTGCCAGCTGTGTTGGCGATGTTTTGATGCCAAGACTGACGATGACGCTGGACTCATAACTTGCAGTGTCTGTGACAAGATGATGCATCCAGGTTTGTAATTGTATAATGTAATAGTAATAAATAGAATATGGCTTTGTAATTCCAAAAGTTGTATTTTTATACTCCATACATAGTGTAGAGAGAGTATTTTGAAACTATTCTCCACTATATTCATAATCTCAGAAATAAGTTAAGTTAGTTTGCTAAAAAGAACATTAAGCAACATGTTGTATTATGTTATTACAACCATTTGTGAAAGTAAATGTGATTGCCTGTAACCTCTTTGATTTGTCACACTTTGTGCAAAAAGTATTAGCTTGAGTATTTGCATCTGGAAGTTTTTTAAAATATTTTATTAAATTTTTCTTCACATTATCTGCGATCACATGATCTTCTGTATACAAGTGATTCTACTAGTATTATACCTAGACCGAATGTACCAAGTTTTCTCTGAAAATTGAAGATAAATTGTTGACCAACGTGTGTCATACAAATTTCTCAGAAGACAATCCTCAGTACCTCTTTCTTGTAGTAAGAGACAGATTCCTTGGATGTAAATTTTGTCACTTGTTAAGGTCTCCATCGTTATTGTCTATTGGGTTTCCCTCTGGGCTTGTATTATATGAAATAAATATTGTAATAAAGGCGCTGTATTGCTACGTGTGTAGGGGTGCCCTCGGTAATATTAAGAGTATTATTGTTATTAACAACTCATTTCTTTTTAATCACTGTCACCTAGTCACATTTAATTGCAGCTTAAACATAGCTTGAACCTGTTTTCAAAATTAAATCTTTAAATGATGTTGTGTACAATATGTTTTTAAAATATTATTAGTTTTCTTTTTATTTTGCATAAAATTGTGATATTTTTTTAAAAAATATCTAAACTATTTTTGTTCCAGAACAGCTTCAAATATTCATTTGATTTGATCTTTTTGTTTTAATATAGCACAATTCACTGAATTGCAGTTTGAACAATATTTTCATTAAAACCTTCAAATTTTGATATTCGGTTAATGGATCTCTCAAAATTTGTTCGATAAAGAGTTTGATACAGGTTGCAATATTATACTATTGAATAACTATTACAAATAATATGAAAACGTTTTTGCTCTTGTAGCACTACTTGTTTTTGTTAGGTGAGAGAAGAGTAAATATTTGTCTTGCTTTCAGAATGCTGCAATGCTGTTGGAGGTGTGGAACTGGACAAAGCAAATTTCCTTTGTGAGATCTGTCAAGAGAAAGGGCATCAAGCTCGGGCATCATCTTTAAAACTTTCTATGCGGCCTGTCGTTAAGGTATGAAATAGCTCAGAATGTCATAATATTCCTCAGCAAGAATAGTGACACAAGTCAAAAACTGAATTGCTATGTGGTTATTGTTGGATTAATATATCGATAAATTTTAACCCATAAGAGCAATTGATTGTGTGTGCAACAATGCTTGTATCAATAGTGAATGCAATGCAGACAAGTCCATTCTAATCTTAGGGTAATGAAATAGGTTTGTTTATGAAGATTCAAATTCTTAAAATCCGATAATGTTAGTTGAACCTGTCATTTTTAGTAATTTTTTTGAAGAAGTTGAGAGTTGTCTTTACAATTTGTTACTGGATATTCAAGAGTGGTTTTCAAATTTTTTTTGCAGAAAAGAGTAGATTTGTGAAATGAAGTAACAGTAAGTGAAATGAAGTACAGTAATTTTGTGTTCAGATTGAACTGAATTGTGCACTAAAGTATCAAAGTTTCCCATCTTACATAAAATGATGGAATTTTATGCTTTGTAAAAAAAAAGGATTATATAAATCGTTTATTAAAGGCTATTGTGGAATCCTTGTGGAATAAGTTTGCATGCAAGGAAAACTATGATCTCTAAAGATTCAACACCCCTGCCTGGTTTATAAAATCCTCTAATTTTTTCTTTCTGTTGCTACTATACAAAATTCACTATGTTCGTTTGGCACATTGCTCTTACTATATTGCTCAGTTGAATGTCTGCTGCTTATTACATTTGCCATAAGAACCATGTTTGAACGCAGTTACAACAGCAGTGACCTTAAAAGGAAACTTCCTTTTCTTGTCACGTCCTATTTCACTCACATTTGTGGGATAAGTTCCCTGTGTGACATATAGTTGTTCACTTAACATGTTAGTGTATAGACATTACTGATTTTCAAGGTGGATTCAATATTGTGATTTTCTGTTAAATATCAAATATAATTCAGATTCAGGAAATGGATATTAGCAACAATGAACCTTGTTTACAGAAACATTTCAAAATTTACAAATTAAATTTATTAACATAAATATGAATAATGGGAAATGTTTTAAAGATAATTATGCAGAATAAGTGGCAATTTACAAAAATATATTGCTTATTTTGAAAATAGGCAAAATCAGCAAAATTTGCTTTGTAAAATCGTGATAAAATAATTGGAAAACGTGTTTTCACAGATAGTAAGAGAGCATACTTTCTGATTCCAAGGGCAAAATATGCATTTGAATTGAAATCCAGTCACTAGTAATTACCATTTAAAATTTAACGTCCTGCTGATGCAATTTTTTTTTTTTTTTAGTTCACTCTGATATGTTCAATTATACTCTACAAAAGTAATTAGATACTAAAGGATTTATTAATAAAATAATTTGCTTCATCCTGATGCAGGAGAAAAAGGAAACATGTTTTTTATAAATGATGAGATTGGTGTGTTAGAGAGGGGAGGGGTGAAAGTTTGGAAACCTTGGGTTTTCTTCATTCCAAATATATTCCAAATAGAATTGGGTAAATGTGTTTCAGGGCATTTTTGACAATCTTATTTTGCTGTACCATGCATTTATAAGTTGGAAGCATCCTTTTTTAAGCAAACGAATTGTATATTTAAAAACATTCCTATAAAATACTTTGGTAAAAGTTTCAATAAAAATTATCAGCTCTACATGATGGGCAACTGTTTAGAATGAAAATTAAATAATAAATCATAATCCATGTTAGGGCTGCAATACAGAGACAAACATGTTGAAAAAATATTCAGGGGACTCCGTATGTAAGTTTCTAAAATACATAATAATAATGCTTCAGAACAATTGCAATAAAAAATTTGCTGCAATATTTTTATGGAAAATGAAATGATTGGTTTTTATGTTCTGTGAAAGCAGTACATTTTAAAATACAATTTTTGGATTTTGAAAGACTGGTGATGGTAGAACTGTTGTATCTTGTCATGTCTCCATTAATTTTAAAAAAATTTGCTACTGTCACAGTAATAATTTTTTAATATTTCCATAAAATTATTGCTTTTATTACAAACATAATTTTATGGAAAGAGTCTTTAATACTACATTCCCACTTTTAAACTTGTGTCGTTTTTCCTGCAAGGAATAGAAAGTATGTAATGAATGTTTCATTAATCAGTGCACTGAGATATACTATATGGCAAGATGTGATTTCTCAAAAAGCATTTCTGACAATTTACTGAAATGAATTATGTTACACACTTGGGATTGTGTGAATTCAAAAGTCATAATAACATGTTGAACTATGAAGAAGAGGAAATACAACTTTTTGTTGTACTGGTACGTTGTCACAGTTTTCTGTATTTCCAAATTTAAAAAAATACAATCTGGACCCTTAATATTTCAAAAATGGATACGTTATTAAAAATAAAAGAATTTTATATGTGAATTGCCCTATTTACAACTGGATACTACATATAAATAATTACATTACATGCCTAAATATACACAAAATTAATTATCTTTAATACTTCATAGTGCATTATTAATACTTGTTATTTCGCTGTTGTAACATTTTCCAATAAATTGACAATATTTTCATAATCATGAGCACAAAACCATACATCACTGCAAACTATGGCAACTCAAATAAGGGAATCAGGTTGTGTAGAGAGCAAAAGGGGAATGCTCTTTAACTTGGCAAGCTATGATCTCTTTACTGACTGAATAATATCATTGTTTATGCTTGAGTGACAGAAGTATTAGGGCAAGTGTGTATGTGTGCATGCATGTGTGAAGGTGTATGGGAAAGAGTTGATCTGGTTGAAAGAGCCCTCTTTTGATGGCACTTGTAGGGAGGAGCCATATCTCCAATAAATACCTGATTTCTTCTGGCTGCAGCAGCGCTCTGAAAGAAGTTCCTCCTTGGACACATTTATATTGTTTCTGCAATGTTTAAAAATGCACCTTGTTCAAAATGCAATGAAAGTTAATTTTCTTGTAGCTATGAACTCCTATGTCCTTAAAATGGTAATTACGTTAAAAAACAGAAAGAATGTGATAAGGGACATTCCTCCGTTTCCTCTCCTTAAAATGTGCCACTGTGAGTGTATCATGTTAATGTTAAAAGGCAGTTGAAACACAGTCCCTTCTTCAAATTCATGTAGTAAGAAATGGTATTTCAGTTCATTGTCAGAAATGATTTATAGTGATCATATTAATAAAAGAATGTGATTCAATACACTTTATTTTCCCAGGGATTGCATAGTAATGCGTGTTGTAGTCATTGAATTCTCCCTGAATACTGTACCACCTGTCCTTCAGAATTGTGGTATTTGTTTGACATGCTGGCCATTGCTATTTTATTACTTCAGTTGATGAAAATGTGTGGAATTTTACTGTAACATAGTGTAGGATTGAACTGCAATCATGTTCTTTTCTTAACATGAGTATGCAAGTATCAAGCATGATATTTTGTGAGATCATATATATATGTATTGTTTGGTGCTAGATTTCTGCTTGCTACGCATGTATGCTAAAAATCAGTTTTATCTTTGTATATTTACATTTATATAAGTTTTGTACAGGTGTAATCACTTTTCAGTAAGTGGAATTGTGGAAGTGATGTCAATCATCTTGTGTGTGCTTTTCAATTTATATGTTGTGCACTGATAATGCAGTTTAACAGTGATGTAATAAGTAAAAAAAAAATGTTTCAGTAGATTTTATTATTTATTTTCTTTAATTTATTTTGTACTAATGATGGGCATTCACGAATTATGCAAGAAAATGTACTGTAAAAAATTTAATTCTGAAAAGTTGACCATGAGCAATAATGTTTTTAATTGATTTGAACAGTATTTATCTGACAGATGAGTGTTTAGCATTCTTTTAGAGAGATTCAGGGTAAAATGTTTTGATATGAATGACGTGAATGAGTTAGGCAAAAACAAAAGGAAAATTTGAAACCTTGCCTGTATGGCCTATTGTTAATATAGAGATGTATAGGAATGAAAAATATTAATGCAATCAAGTCTTTATTTATTGTCCCATTATTAGATATTTATTATTCATGTGCGAATTTCTCAAACCTTCCCTTAAAAAGAGTTTTGAATAGTGTTTGTTATACAAACATTCCTTTCTGTATAGCTTCATTTATGTGAAATTTACTCGGTGTCTATAAATTCTAATAAATGTTATTCTTTGTATATGTATGTTATCTGCTTATTTGATGTTTAATTTTATTTGAACTTACTGCTGAGTAAATAATTACTTCTTTATTCAAATTTTTTCATAGCATTAAACTTCTTAAAAACTTGCAAAAAAATTAGTAATTTACTCAGTTATGAATTTCAGTCAGTTCTTGAATTGAAGAAACAAGTTGAGAACGCATTTCATTGTTGGGCAAGTTCTAAATGTTAAAGAAAGCTAGAAATGTTAAAGTTTTTTTGTATATTATCTCCTCCTGGAAAGAGTAATTATTTTTCTGTCACGTTATTTCCTTTTGAGAAAAAAGTATTTTATATAAAAATATTTTTTACTATCCCAATAATTTTCAATAATTCTGGTCATTTTTTCACTAAATATAGATTTTACAACACTATAATTTTTTGATTAAATCTTTACTTGCTAACTTAGCTCTATAATAGGGTCCATAGTTTATACGTATGGATTTCTAAAACAAAAGTTTCAATCTAAAAGTGTTGGTTCAGCAAAACACCATGCTTGGCAGCTTGTCCTTTTACTCCTGTAGAAACTCACTGGCCATATGAATTGTCATCTAGACCTTTATGAATTCTTCTTTAAACATAAACATGAATGTTAATTTTGTGACAAATGGAAGTATAAAGATAATTCAGAATAAATCTGAATTATAAGCAGTTTTTCAAATTTAACCCTTCAGAATGAGAAATGCAAGCCCATAAGTCTCTTGGATTTCTTGTTATATTTATTAACCACTAATTGATTGTTTACTTTCCATTGCTTTCTTGAAAGGACTGGGCATTTTCTAAATGTTTAAGGTTTAAATTTCCACAAATACAAAAAGAGAATTTTCAAACACCAGCTTGTGAGCCCATTAGGACTATCATTTGTAGAGAAATGGAGTTATTCTAGTCAAGGACGATTGGTAATATAGCGTTTGCTTTAGCAACCTTGATCCCAATAAATTTTGGCTGTTTCTTGAGTCCATCATGTGAAGCAGATTTTTGTACTAGTTTTCAGTTCTACTTTCTCTGGAGAAGTAGCTGACAGGGCACTTCTCACTGGGTGGAACAACGATGAGTTGGGATGGGTTGTGGAAAGTCACCTGAAAATGATAATATAAATTTGTATCATTTGGATGATTTAATTTAAAATTGCATTTGATATGGTTTATAATAATTAAGAAGGCAAAGTTTGTAATTCCATTGCTATAAATTTGAATTATATTCTTTATTACTATTAAATTTCCTAATTAATTAATCAGCGACATTTCCTGTAACTGCATCATTGTAGTAGCAAATAATTTAACAGGTATATTAAACATATTTTTTAAATTAAAAAC